ACTCTCATAAAAAGATATACAGTAAACCTTATGGCTAATTTTTGGACATACATGCACTTTACATATACTGTATGTTCCCAAGCACTAAAAGTTGCAAATCTTCAGACTTATTCAGGTTTGTTATGAGAAGACGTTCTGGCCAATGCAAATACAAATATTTATTTCAGTTATAGATTTGAAGTTTATAGATTTACTGGTTTTAAAAACATTAAACACATTCTGACAGGTTTCCCTGTGTACCTGTGTTGTATTCTTAGGCTACGTCCAGAATAGCCCGGATTGAAAACGGCGTTTTCGTCTGAAAACGCTCCACGTCCACACTAACGTTTTCAGTCGTTAGTTGTGCATCCACGTTGAAAAGGCCCAAAACGCTTACGTTCCAGTCCTGTGCATGCGCAAAAGCGAGTGCGAATTAAAGAATTTGAAGAAAAGCTATCTGGAGCATGTACAAAGTGATATAATTTTTTTTAGAGCTGTCAAAATTGAGAGCAATCAAAACAACTGCTGTATAAGCACTCGCTATCTTTGTTTAATTGGTCACATGACTACATCACATGACTAAAATGCAACGTAGCCTTAGTGGATTAGTGGGGCAGATGTTAGATAAACAGTGGTCAGTAAGATTAGAAAAATGCTATACAAATGCTAGCCTAGTACCATTATGATGCATGTATTATATGTCTGTTCCTAACTCCTCCCGCTTTTTCATGACACTCAAATCCTTAAAGATTATAATATTATGTGCAGTAGCTGATCTCAAAACAAACAGAGGGTAGCACCCTGTGTGTTCATTTGGAAAACAGTGAGGGTTTTTATATTTCCTTGGAGAAAAAGAGAAAAATAACTCAAAAGTAAGGACACAGAAGATTTTTCTTCACTACAAAGACATCCACAGTCTATCATTACTGAGTTTAATGCGCCTTTACTGCTGAACTAGTAACCACGCTGGATATTGTAAACATTCACAGTAAATTGGAGCGATGCTTTTCACCGTTCTCAGATTTCTCGTTTATGCACTTCACTTGTTATTTTGAGCGCATAAGCATGTTAATACCAACAAGGTGAAGTCCAGTGCACTGCGAGTCCCTGGATGGTCAAAAAGTCTCACCCTCAGTCGTCAGATTCTTGGCAACAGAGAAAAAGGTGAGTGATCGCCAGCAGGTTTTAAGCCAGAAAGGAGGAAGATACATCATCAACATGAATGCTACATCAGCTCTAGTCTACTAACAGCTGCAGTTTTTTCAGGTGGTGATGTTACGTGCTTTATTCTTGTTTTTTGTTCATGGCTGCCTGTCGTCACTGTAAAATAACTTAGAATTAAATGTGTTTATGTGTAACTTAGTATTCAAGTAGCACTGAAATGTATCTCCACTTTAGCTAGCCTGCTACAGCAAGCTCAACAAGTTGTGAAGGTGCACAATATATACCGTTTGCTTTTAAGTCAACACCACCCTGTCAAAATGAACTACACTGATGAGTACGTATTATAGCCTATACAGGCTACTAACGGACATAACTGAACTGAGAAACAAACTCGGTCTTGGGTGTCTTTCTCATCAACGCCACAGCAGCTTTTTGCATGAACCACAATCTTCTTTTTGCAGCTGTTGCAAACATTTTGCAAGGCCGTTGAAGTCATTACTTTTCTGCAGCCTGAGAAATTAGTATTTGTTTGTGTGCTTCTGCCGCACAATTAAGGGAAAATATTTAGAGTGAAGTTACCAAATGCCGTTCTCACAGCGTGAGCGCCGGAGGCTGAATGAGAAGTGCGTGCCTTGCACTGTCTATGTGAGCGTGTGTTTGTGTGTTCATGTGACATCTGCCATAAATCAAGCCACAGTGTCCTTGCAGTTCTAACACATATCATGGAAATCAATGCTGAGGTCAAGCTGAACAGAGCTACCCAACCCCAGAAAATACCACAGCAGCCAATAAATGTGGCAGGCTAATACACACGTCAACACCTTGGCTTTCTCACCCTATCGACTTACCACGGATAATGTGTGCGCACACGTGAGCGAGTGCATGTATGGGCAGAAACACAAATGTCACAGAGTATGTGTCCATTCATCATGTAGACACTTGCACCAGGTTTAAACTGATGGACCTTTTTCAATAAATAAATAATTGTTGTTTTCTTTTTAAAGCAGCTTTTTGTTTCTGATTCCTGACGTTGTTGATATCCAAAGGAGCTCCAATGCCATCCAGATAACACATGAGTGAGCCCCAGTGTTGGGTTGGATGAAATTTTCTTTCATTATAACAAACATGGACACACTAGTTTAGTCGGATCCTGCTGCGCAGAAAGTTCAAGCCAAACAAATGTCTCTGAAATTAACCCCCAGTAAATGCAAATTTACTACCTTCTAAAAACTACAATTAAAAAGCATTTGGCCTTTTTTTAAAAGTATAATTTACTTTGTCCTGAGAGCCAGCATCAGGCTAAGAAAGTTGAAAATTGTTGAGAGACAGGCTAACACTCGGTTTAGGTCTTTTCACGGGGATTTGTTTGACAGCAAGAAAAACATAGAAACTCAACCTCTTTATAATTTAAACATAAAAGCTGCCTTTTTTCCCTTTTGTTTTTTCCCCTCTTTTTCTTTTCACGCCTCCCTACAGCTTAGATGCACCTTCTCTTGGGAACACATTCTGATTTTAGAAAAATACGACTTTTGAAAAGACACCTGGACTGTGATCAGCTGACAAGTCACGGAGGGAAAACAGTAAATTGCCTTAATGTGTGTGACACATTTCACCAGGGGAGGTCCAGAGAGTGGGAAGCTAGAAAAAGATGTCACTTTCTTTTCCTTATGATACCTTGGTAAGGTCATGGTGTGCTCTGGGTGAGAAGGTGTAGATTTGCTCTCATGCACACACACATCTTCATGTCTCCTATGTCACATGTTTTCCCCCGCTCCAGGATCTAGGAAAGATTTTCATGTATTTTGCATGTATCATCATCTTGATTTTCAATTGTTACCTCTAATCTAGATTCCTCTGTCATCCTTACCCTGCTCCACTTCTTCTACCTTGGCTAATCACATGGCAGTCGCTACACACACACACACACACACACACACACACACACACACACACACACACACATCCTTTACCCCTCACCCCCTACATTGTCAAATGATCATTGAGGAGCGAGTGTGTGGCTGACACAGTCTCCACAGCAACGGCAGTTAGGACCAGGAGGGGGGCTGGGGCATCTTCCAATGTGTGAGTGGTGAGAGGACACACACACACATATACACACAAACACAATGAACACACACACCTACATACAGCACAGACAGGTGCACACAACCACACACATACACAAACAAAGGTGGCAGCTATGACAAAAACCCATTCACACACATGCACAAAACCACAATCAAATAACACACAGACAAGTGCACACACACTACACAGACATTAAGCGAGACCTAGGAAACTGAAAAAAAGGAGGATGAAAGCAAGTGTGGAAGGAGGGTGGGAGGGAGGATGGAGGGGGGGGCTGTTGCTTCCTGGAGAGATTTTCTTCTTCTTCCTCTCTCTTGTCACATGCACATGCAGATACAAACACACACAGACTCACACCTACGCACGCACACACAGGAATATACAAACAATGACAAAGCGCCACATAATCACTCAATCATTTATGAAAGCAGATGTATAATTCAAAAAGCAGCATGAAAGATTCACAAGGCAAAGAACATTGTTTAATCTGCCCTCCACCCTCTAATTCCCCCATCACTCCCTCCCCCTCTCCCTCCGTCTCACTTCTATCACACCCCTCTCTCTCTCCCACATTTCACCTTTTACCACAGCAGGTTTTTAATCACTGACCGCCGCCTGGCCCAGACAACTAAAAGGTCAGAGTTCGACTTCAGAGGGAAAACACAGACAGCGCTCAGTGTCAAGCATTATCATTCACATCCTTTCTCTTACCGTTTAAATGAACAAAATCCTACTTTACACTCGGCTTTCCTTTCCTACCTCAGTGTGTCAGTCTTAATTCTCTTCCTCCTCCCGCCGCCTCTTCACTGACCTCCCTGGTGCCGTCCCCGTCACTCTGCTCTCAGGCATGTTTAAGCACCTTTCTGAGGTAACCTCACACCTGTCTCCACACTGACACCGGCCGCACTCTCCTGCATTTCACACAGCTGCTCGAAAGACTGCAGATGAAAACTGTTTGACTGGCAGCAAAAGCCCCAACTGAAACTGAGTGATAAACCACAGAGCTACTGTAGATGCCAAGCACAAAATATCCCTTGAATTACATTAAAGGATTATGTTTATTTAGACTGCATTTCTACTATTAGTAACTGTTTATAATGGATTCTAATGATCAGTTGATCCTTAAATTAAATTAAAAGCTGAAAATGTTCAGGTTTTTTGGAGGGGGAAATTTTTAGATTTTAAAATTTTCCTTTTATACTCTAGTAAATGCTTAAATGGGTAACCAGTGATTCAGTTACCTAGGTGACAATTAATTGTCACCCATAATTTAAGGTCATTTAGCTGTGAGGTTGACTACACTCTGTCGATCAAGCCTAAAAATAACAAAAAGACCCATTCCCAGTTGTACACAGTAGTAACAAGAGAGAAAAAAAGCACAACTAAAGTATCAGGGGAGTGCTTCAGTAGGTCAACGCACTGAGCAAGAAGACTCAGAAAATTTACTTCTTCATGAAAGAAAACTAAATTTTGTCTCTCTGTCTTTCTGTTTCTGAAAAATCTAAAATGATGTTGTGACACCGAAAACATCATGAGAAGTGGCTCCTGCAGAAGCACAGCGTAGCCCTCCTTACCTGGCAGAAAACGGTAAATCAATGTGACATCACCCGAGCCATTAATTACGTCTTGAAAGAATGACTGCATGAAAAGGGAGATTCACTCTCTGCGGCTTGTGACCACCCTCTGTGCTGATACAATGTGACAGAACAAGAAATACCACCACAGAGCCATCCGCGGGAACATCAAAGACTGAGTATAATTGGTCTTACCTGGGAGGTAGAAGTGTGGGGTCTTTAATCCGAACATGATCCTGGATCCCTCCTCCACTGACTCAGAGAGTAAGACTCCGGGTTAAAGGAGGCAGGGAGGGGGGGGTCGGGCAGAGGGAATGGGCTGCGGTCGGCTGGGTTAAGGAGTTTGTTGTTAATGTAAGTCATCAGACGACTCCCTGCTCCAGCTCTCTCTCTCGCGCACGCTCTCTTTCTCTTTTCTGGGCCCTGCGGGTGTGAGAAAGGAGGCAGGGAGAGGGGTCAGCCTCTGTCTACCTCGCTCACCTCCTCTTCAGCCTCTGAACTCAACCCGTGTAGAGAGAAGAGGAAGTAGAGAAAGATGCAGAAAGAGTGACAGAGAGGAGGGTGAAGCAAAAAAAAAAAATACTCCAAAAGCTGAGGATGGGAGACAGTGTGCTCATGCCATCTTTTACTGAGGAGATCGTCTGGGAGGGAGAGCCTCTGAGAGAGTTGGGAGGGTGACAGGAAGGATAGAGAGGGAGGAGGGAGTGAAGGAAAGAGAGAGAGAGAGTCTTCAGTCGGTGTCCTCTCCTTTTTTTTTTCAGTCCTGCGCTTTGTAATCCCTTCCTTGTTATTCATTCAGCGGCCTCTTGCTCGTTTGCTGTATAATGATCTGTTTTTCTGTGCCTCTGTTCTCCTTTCTGTCTCTATTCTTGCTTTATCCTCCCTCCTTTGCCTCAGTCCCACCACTGACTGCTCAGCTCAGCGAGCACAGAGGAGGAGGAGGAGGAGGAGGAGAAGGGAGAGAGAGAGAGAGAGAGAGAGAGAGAGAAAAGAGGGTGAAGGGGAGGGAGGAAGAGAAAAAAGAGGGGAGGAGGAGAATCATAAGACAGATGAGTGAGGGAGAGATGAATGAGTTTATGTTAGTGCAGTGTGCGCACACGTGTTTGTGTGTGTGTGCGTGTGTGTGAGAAATGTGAAGAGAGGAGGAAGGATGATTTAGCTGGTGCGAGTAAGAGGAGAGAGAGAGAGAAAGAGGGAGGAAGAGAGGCGAGAGGGTGTTGATGCAGTTCTCATTATCAGTAGATTGGACTGGTGCCTGAGTGACAGCTGATTCATCATGGGAGAGAGAGAGGAAGGGAGAGTGAAGGGGAGGAAAAGTGTGTTTTTGTGTGAGTGTGCGCATGTGAGTGTGAGTGTGTAGAGGAGGGAGGGAGGGGAGGGGGTTAAAACCTGCCCTTAAGCATCTGCTTCATTCAGCTCTCCTCTTCTTCTCTTCTAGTTTTTTTCCTCTCCTCTTCTTCTACACTTGAAAATCAACAGTCTGCTTCTTTGGACCGCAGGCACGCTGGTGCGTACCATGATGTGACCGGCATAGCTGTACCACAAACACATACACACAGCCCCCTAAACCACTCGCATGCTCCCACTGATTAGACAGGCCTCATATGTCTGACACATCACGTTAGCCTAGCTTTCCATCAATTACTGTCCACTCCCGGTGAGCAAACGTCCCCTCTACTGTCACCAAGACCCAATTCTATCACGTTAGTGACGATGCCAGAAATCGCTGCCTACACACACACACACACGCACGCAGACACGGCATCAAACCGAACCTCATCCAGGGGTGACAATTAGGAACAATTATCTGAGATGGCTCTTTGGCGTTTTCTCCGTAATGTCAGCGTCCATGGCGGCCCAGAGGAACCCGGTTGCTCTATCATCGTCTCCATCTATGCACAGTAGCCTTCATTTCTCTCTGTCACTTCCTCTCTCACACATATGGTGCAGACATCTATGCAGCCACACATGCTCTGCTTCGTTTCACACACACATTTGTGACACAGACACACAGACCCCTGAGCCTCCTACCTCAGTTGTTTAACCTCTATCTTCTCCTTTCTACCCTACATCTATTTTTCCCATTCTTCATTTTTCTTAATCTTTCTTCTCTTTATTTCTTCTTCTCTTTTTTCCTTCACTTATCTCCTTCCTCTTTGGGAGTTGTGAGGAGGAAGTACGCTGGTGATAAGATTGATTGTGAGGGTCTCACAGAGCTATCTATAACCCTGTTTGCCACCACTGAATCAATGGAGAGAGACGACTGTAGGACACCGTGTATACACTACACACACACACACACACACACACACACACACACACACACACAGTGATCAACAGCTGTGAGAGCAGTTGTGAAACATCAGCTAACCACAAACTGACAGAGGGGGCAGACTGGAGAGAAGAGATAAAGAAGACTTAAGAAACAGCGAAGAGGATGGAGAGATGGTGGGGACTAGGGGGAGGAACGAGGGAGGGAGGTGTGATGGGCATGAATTTTTATTTTTATTTTTTTACAGTTTATTGCACTTTTTTGTATCTTCCCAAGCTTATATATCATATATCCACTTATATATCATATATCATCGCTCTGCAAACACCAGTGACCTCAGGGTCAAGACAGTCAAGACCTTTTGCCCCCCGGGGGGTCATGCTCTGCTGCGTGATGCAGGGCCGACGAGGTCAAGAGAAGAAGGGGAGGAGGAGGTGAAGGAGGAGTGCCGATAAACCAGCCAGCACAGTTTGTGATGATTACAGACAACAGCCAATAACGAGCATCCACCTCTGACCTCATTGCTGTGGAAACGTGAGGGAATGCCTGTCACAGAGGGAGCAGTATAACTCAATCTATCAACAAAAGGTGAGGGGGGTTGGAGTGGGTGGGTGTATCTGTGTGTGTGCGAGAGAGAGAGAAAAAAGACTGTGAAGAGGAAGGAGACAGATGATGATGTGGTCAAAGCAATACCAGCCTCGCTCGTGTCACAGCCCTCCTTTTCCCTTATTGGAGCTCTTGTTCTGCCTTCAAAACAGACGCTATCACACAAACACACACACCCACACACACACACCCTCTTCCCTTCTCCTCCCTGCTTCTTTCTCTATCATTTGCCTGTCAGATGCATGCTGTGGCAGAATAAGAGCTGACACCCCGGTCCCAGCAGCAACCAGGGGCTGCCATCAGCACTTAAACATTTTCTCTCTCTGCTGCTTCTCCCCCTTCGCTCCCCTGTGTCCATGCAGCACTCCAACTGCTGACAAGGAGCACAGAGAAGATGACAAATAAATGGAGGAAAATGATGAAAAAAAAAAGATAAGCCCCCTCCTCATCATGCCATTGTTCCTGCTTTCCCTCCCCCTTCTCTTGTTTTCTCTATCCCTCCTCATCCCAGCCCCAGTGAGGTTGCTGACCCCGAGTGAGTGAGCCTCATTACTCTGTATCTACTCTTGTTGCTGAAAAAACAAATCTGTGTGTACACAAGTATGCAATGACAAGAGGAATTGTAAATATATTTGTCATTCCTGGAGTCACTCTGGAACAATGTTTAAAAAGACAACAGACGATGAGCGTCATCACAGAGAGAAGCAAAAAAAAAAAAGATTAAAAGACAGGGATGGGCAGAGCGGAGGATGAAGTGGTGGAGAGATGAGGGGATGGATGGATGGTTGGAGGTGGAGGGGCTGGAGGGGGTGGCTTGCATTGGATCAAAGATAATTGTCAGAGGGAGTCATTATGCACATATTGTATAGAGGAGTCGCTTCTTTCAAACAATCCCTCTCATCGCTTCTGTCCTCTTAATCAGCCTCTCGTGGTCTTCCACACCATCAGGGATTTTAATTGGACGCTGATGGGTTTGCCGTGACCTCAAGAGAGAAAAAAGTACGTTTGCATTGCTGGGATAGGAATTATTGGGACGTAAAAATGAATCCATATGACTATTGGCATTAATCTAATGTAGTAAAATTTTCAAATGAAGTAGAAAGCAGCACAGTCCCAGGTTGTCTCCTATCCCCCCTAAAAGTTATGACACAGCCCCAGACAACCAGTAATAAGCCCTAAACTACAGTCTCTTTGAGGTCTGGGATTATTTAGATAGCTTTGGTCTGTGTATCTTTGTCTGCTGGCACACTTGTGACGGTGTCAGGCTGATGGAGTTGATGGAGGGAAGTATGCTGTGTGTTCTCTGGGCCCGCATTTCAACCCCCAAGTTAAACTCTGGACTCAGGCTGTCTGGTGCCTGTCTGCCCACGAAAATATCCCAAACATGACACTCATGCATGCTTACATAGACATCAGAACGTGGCCTGCTGAAGCCCTGAATCAGCGCAACACAGACTAGGCGGACAATCTCCCACCACAGCATAAATCAAGACTGTTAGTGGGCCTGAGCCACAGGGCTTCACTGTACTTCTCCACCTCCAAAATCTCTCTTTTTCTCTCTCTCCCCCTCTCTCTTGTCCATCTGTCCATTTGCACAGTGACGACACACATACTAAGTGTGAAATTAGCCTGCTGCTGCGACACTGGGGCATCTATCTATCTATCTATCTGCAAGTGTAGAAGCACACTGACACACACACACAGTGAGAAACTGCCCTTCTGTGTGTGTGTGTGTGTAAGATACATGTATTGCTGTGCGTGCCTCTGTTTGGCCTGGCTCTGCTTACACAGATGGTGATATCTGGTGATTATCTCTGTATGTATCTCCTCCTCCATCCTGCAGCCCTTCTGGGTCGGTCAGGTCCCACCAACCACAGCACTACATCGATTTTGCTCCTCCAGGAAACTCAGACAGACACACACAGCTCCCCTAGGAGAATTTAAACTCCTCTCAGCATATTTCCCTGCTCTGATCTAACCACTGAAGCGATCTCTGACCTGGCCGTGTGAACTCCAAACCTGCGTCTGTCCCTGCTGATGTCTTCTGACCTCGGAGGATTGTAAATCATCACCTCAGGCGCATACTGACTCTGGAGCCGTTCTCTCTGACGTCTTGCACTCAAATTGTGAAAAATTTCCTTTGTGAAAATCAGATGTGATCTCTTGATATATTCCTCTAAATTACTTCAGTGATACATCTTCCACTCTAATCCCTCACAAGGAAGATAGGGAACAAAGTGGCGTATGAAGGCGGCGAAAAGTGGTGATGGGGATGTCTATGTGGCATGCATTATTTACTTGAATGAATTTAACATACTTTAAAGCCGCATACAGTGTATGGATGAAAGGTTATGAATCATAGCTCAAAGGGGGAAATATACTATAAATATTACAGCATGTCCCACTGGCTGAAAATATAATAGACGAATATTTGGAGCATTGCACATAAGGTGTGATACAATATTCAAGGTTCCCTACCCTCTTTTTTACCAAGACCATTTTAACCATCCAACTTGACATTTATTTTTAAAACTTTGCAAGTGCTGAACATTTAAGGATGGCCAAAATCCATTCATTTTTATACACTAGCATGTAATACTCCCTTCAAGAATGATAAAAGCTGCCCAGATGGCCAACATAAACCGTTTCACTGTTTATGTTGTTATTTAATGAAGCTGTCAGCTGAGGGGATGGATGCTTACATAGATCGTCCCTCTTCCCCTTTTTCTGTAAAGC